TAGTCAGGACTACAATAATCTGTAAAATTGAATTCATAATTAGTTAAATTTAGGCCGATTATCATCATCAGCGGGAATATCGACTCAGCTAGCTGAGACTTGAGAATAGAAAAAGTCAGCTCACGGGGTTTTGTATACCCTTACCGTAGATACTTGAGTCACTTGAGGTCACAATAGGAAGATGTTCAATTGAAAAATTATCATTGAGATAGTTGATACAATCTTGTATCAAATGATCTTTTATCCCAAAATAGTCAATCATGTTGCACAGATTTATTACATAATCCATCTCGATGAATATATTACCCAGTTCAAGCCAATCGGGGAACGATTTTAAAGCCATTGAATCAAAATTCAGTAAAACTTTGTTTTCCTTTGATTCCTTCAAATCCAGGCTCAACATCTTTTCAAAATAAGGTACTTTTCGAATTAGTTGTTTACTAATTTTATGTACCATCGTTCGATTAACTATCGAAAGCTGACCATCAGTCTCTAGTAAATCCATATTGTACAAAAAATTGAGCTAAAGACGAAACGTCAAATTTTCTTGAGATACAACTTTGAAGGGTTAGTTTTCACGGGTTAAACAGCAAACTTACAAATATAAAACACTTGTTAGAGAAAACCAGATTTTAAATCTGCTTGTATTAGCACACAAATTGTTGGATTAGAAAATGTTAGTTTTAATAAATTCTGAGAAGAGGCCATTCTTTCTGACATCCTCCTTATTATGCTTCAACCTCTAATTGAATTTAAACTTTTTTTCTCATGTAATAAGATAATGAAACTCATAGCAATTTGATTCCCTGGAATGTGTAACAGAATAATACATGATAAATGATATCTCTGCAAACTAATTGATTCCCAAACAAAAGCGGTTGAGATTGTTAAAAATTGACAATTGGATTTCAACCTCAGAAAAATATCATTAGTACATTTTGATGCAGCTATGTTACATTTATTTGTTAGGATAATTAAATTGACATAACGAATTTGTGAGAAGCTTATCCTAGAAGATTCTTGGAATTTGATTTCCATTGTTGATTGACTTTAAGCAATACAAATGTAATTGAATCCTTTTATTTGCAAAGGATTGTAAACAGAGAAATTGTTAAATGTAAACAGCGTGATGAAGGGCTAACGATACACGGTGAGAAAACAAGCGATAATTGTTTCTTTGATTAAAAATGGCTGTGACTATTGAAGATTGATAATTGGTTTTCAAACTAACAGTAAATCTGATACATTACAATATTTCCCCGAGTTTTTTATTTTTTTACATTGCATCTAGGTCAACTACAAGGGTAACCACGAATTTTCCGATTAAAATAGTGGGGAGAAGGTCAATGAGGCTAAAAAGGGGTACATCAAGTTGTTTAACTGTTTAGTTTTCTATTGTAGTTCACCTAGATAGCTAATCAAATTTCATATCAAATTCGTGAGAAGCTAATCCTAGAAAAACTTGTGATTTTATTTTCATTCTTAATTGGCTTTAATTGTTGAATAATTTCATCTACAAGCTGCAAGTACCTGCTGATTGTATATTAAATCAATAAAAGAAATGCTTGGATCAAATTCGGTAAGATAACAAGTTAACATTCATATCAACTCACAACTCAGTCAATGAATAATTGTGTCAAATGGCATTATTTTATTGCGTTGAGACCACGTTCCAAGCAAAGGTTGATTGAGCCCGTTGATACAAACCCAAAGGTAAAAGTTTTAAGAGTTTTATATTCCTCTCGACCATCCGAAGATTTACTTTCACAATCAATGATTCGACCGATTGATTTCCATTCTCGAGTGCTGACATTGAAACAGACAACATCTCTGGTGGTCTTGTCAACAAAAATAACTCTATCATCATTAACTTGCTTGGATGTTAGGAAACAATTACTAAAATTCAACTTATTTTGGAGTCTTTTAAATTCAATTCTTTCGCACTCGAGCTCTCGGTCAATATTAAACTGAAAGAATGCGCCAGAATCCGTCAGCATGTAAATATTGTTATCCAAAACAGTTGCCAGGTATGTGTGTCCGGTGGAATCTAAGTTATCAATATCTGCTATAGTTGGAGACTCCCAACATCTAAACATGCCAGATTGATTGCGAACAAGAATGAACTTTATGCATGCTTCGAGAAGTGAAAGTTCATACCATTTGTGCCTGATTGGATCCCATTTTTCAAAGGCCACAAGATAAGATTTCCCACTAAAAGAACAAAAAACTAACACCATAAGTACTCTTCATTAACTGAAATAACTTGGTGCGAGGCGTGGACCTTCTTAATGACAATATTCATCAATACATATGTTTGTGAATTTATTTTATGTCCAAATAATAGCGTGCACCGCAGAAGTAACTGAATGATAATAGATTAAATGCAAAAGGATTAATCTAGGGAAAAGATTGCTTACCATTTAGAGCTTTTATAAATACAATTATGAACTTTTTGATAATGAGTTATTATTTTCGATTACGATTTTTAAAGAACAGACTAAGTCATATAGTTAATCGATTTTCAAATTAATGACTTCTGGCCAAGTTTTACCCATTTTCTGGACATTTTTTGGTCGTTTTTTGTTTTTTATGATTTATCAACAATTTCAACCAGTTTTTTTCTGGTGAATCAGATGTAAAAAATGATTTCTTTTACAGATCTCAATATTTACTTGTTAGGTCAATTAAATAATGAAAATTGATTATTAATTATAGTCTATTAATTGTTAAGATTTATGAGGACTTTTATAGGTAATCATAATAGAAACTGGTGGATATTTAAGCAAAAATCAAATCAAAATGAAAGACTGAAAATTAATAACTTCATTAGAGGTATCACAAATATTATCAATATTAATACGAGAAATTTGAACAATTTCGACTTTTGTTTTGGCTAATTTGAATCAGAAATCAAAACAAATGATTTTTCGAAGCTAAAACTTGGATGTAGTAAAATAGTGACTACTACTACCAGGTACTATCCAAATGAGTTTGGTATAAAAAATTTAACTTGTCACATTTTGTTCAGTTGTAGAACTGATTTTTTTCAAAAATTGGAGTATTTTTAATCAAAAATGATCTCAGAGTTTTAAAATACAAGAAAAAGTTTGGATGTTTTTTGAAAACTTCAAGTACATTTGTCATTACAATGTAGTAAATTTAGTTTGCAGACAATTTTTAAGCTTTAGTAGGTTCATAAAGTACTCGGTGTATGAATAATGTTAGTGAACTAATTATATGAGTTAAGCAAGGTTAGAGTTTAAGCAAGTTCTGATGGTTTTTAAAGGAAGAAAAGTTGAGGTCAAAGTATACAGACTGTTGGACTCTTTTTGGCCATCAGCAAAGGAATAAGTTATCATACAACCCTTTGAAATCATTTTAGTGTTGGCATCGAAACAAATGTATTTTTTTGTGACTTTATCAATCAAAATAATTTTATCACCAGCTGGATTCGGTGTTAACAGTGTATTCGAAAAACTGAATTTATCATCCCATAAGCGCTGACTCCAAGTCCGTCTAAGCAAATTATTATCAACTTCAATTTTAAACTCGTACAGCACTCGTTTATTTGTCAGCAAGTAAATCTTATCCTTCAAAATAGTTGCTTTGCATTGTTTTAGACTCGGAAACGTATGATGATTTAAGCAGGGGTACCTGGGAAAATAGTACAAACGCCCCGCTAAAATGTAAATCATACCAAAATTTTCAGCTGCCTCTAAGTATAAAGAACCATCTTCAATCTTTTCTCCTGTTTCTAAATCCCCGATAAGTTGAATTCTTCTAAAGTGCAAAAGAAAATAATTTGAATTAAATATTTGATAACAAAAAATGAATTTGATTGAAGTCATAACAATGTTTAAAATGCACCAATATGAATGTTGGTACAATGAAAATAAATATGAAATTAATAGCATAGAGACTAGTAAAAAACTTCAATGCAGACTTTCATTGTAAAAATGATTACTTACTGTCCAATGTTTCCATCGATTGTTTTAAGCAATTGAGTATAAGGTTGTGGAGGGCAAAACCACATAAATTTTTTACGTTTCCAGTCTATTTGAAAGGAATTCCTTCTGGTATCGAAAAGAAGGTCAGAAATGTGTTCATCATGGAAAAGCTCTGAAGGCAAACACGGATCATGTTTGATGACTTGACTGAACAGTTGTGTCAAGTTATTGTCAAGTACTTTGATTCGTAGATCTGTACTCTTCTCAAATTTTTCAATCATGATGAAAAAGTTTTGCTTGGCTCGATTGAAGGTACAATTGCAATTAACCTTTCGAGGAGTACAAAATATTGGCTTAAAGCCTGAAGATTTAAACAATTCATTTTCTTTTATTTTAGATGAATCTCCCTCGTTCAAATGGCACCATCGGACTAACTTTAATAATCTTTCAAGATAACGCTTTCTAGAATCAACCTTGTAATTCACCCATCTCAGGATTGCATCGAATACTTGATATTCTGAATAGACCATCAGATCCAAAGCACAAATGTATGCAATCGTTTCAATAGGATATCCAATCCAAAAAGTTGTGTTTGCTATCTTTAGGAAATAGCGACAGATGAAAGCATTAAGAGCACCAGAGTTTATACATTTAGATGTTTTAGTCACTTGAGGTATAACATTCTGAAGATTTTCAGTTGAAAAGTTGTCATTGAAATAGGTGATGCACTCTTTTGAAATCCAATCCAGACCCAAATAATCAGCCAACTCGTACAAAGTAATTACATAGTTCATCTCAATCGTGATAACAGTATAATCGCTTTTAACTAAACTCAGAATTATTTCCAAGGTCTGCTTATCAAAATCCAATTCAACTTTGTTTTCCTTTGATTCCAAACATTCATGGCTCAACATCTTTTCAAAATAAGGCACTTTACGAATCAGTTTTTTACTAATACGGTATTCTGTTGACCGATTCACTATCGTTAGTTGGTCATCCAGGTCTAATGAATCCATATTTAACACACACTTTAAAATATAAAACAAAAAGATAAAACTCATGCACTATCAAGATAGTATCGGAATAATTGTTTGTTTTTAAGGTATAAAGCTAATGATAGAAATGACTGTTTCAATTTTCACTCAACATTAACAATTTTCTAAGCTCCATGAGTGAGCGCAGAAGATAAAATAAGTTGACACCCATCCATTTGAGCCAATCAGCGAACACCAATTTTTTCACTATTACCCTTGTAAACCCAAACCCAATTTGCTCAGCTAACTGGCTCATCGGCTGGCTTAGCTCTGTAAACAACTCGACCAAGAATCGATTGGATCGACTAGAGCATTATATTTTATTCCGATTAAATAGATTGAGTCATGCAATTACCTTACCCGCGTGTTCGAAGTCAATACGCACTCGCTCAAATAAGAGCACTTTTGCTGTCTACCTTACCTTGTTAGTTGCTCCATGGGTCATTGTTTTGGTCCTTTGAGTCTATTTTGAGTGATTTAAACAACTGTTTGTGAACAGTTGTTTGAATTTGCAATTGATGAAACTATTTTGAAATAATATTGAATGATGAAGATGGTCAATCTAAACTGACCATTTCAATGCCACAAAATTGCCCAATATCTGAACATAAATCTGGTAACTTCACTTTATGACTCTAACAAACAAATGACTACTGTTTGCAAACACTGTGTGAGGATAATGTAGCTTAATTAAGTGAGACTGGACTCAGAGTTTTGTGTTTAAAACTAAATTGAATGATTAAAGTAATTACTGTTTTTCAATAAGGCGAGACTTTATGACTTGATGGGAAACATTGCTTGCAACTTCACTACATTGAAGCAAAGAGTCGAATTTCTTAAGCAAAAAAGAAACCATTTTTCTCAATAACAAAGTCATTAAAAGTGCTTTGAACCTTTTTTACGAGTTAACAAGTCGCTACTCAAAGATTAACAACTTTTTAGTAACAAGCTTTGTTAATTAGTTTCAAAGAAACGCAAGAATCAACATCAGCATTGTCAGCAAGAAAAATAAGGCTTCTAAACTGCTAATTTACTCATAAAGTCTCTTGTTTGCTATGCAATTCAAAAAACATTATTATCCGATTTTAACAAATTTTTTATATTGTCTGAATGCTGATAGGATAAATAAAGAGAAATTTAAATGTCAGTTTAATTTTTCATTGATATTTTCAATCAATCTTCATAATATCCCCTTAACTATGAGTTAGATTCGAGTTATGAATACATTGAGTGGTTAGATGAACAATAATTTACGTTCATTGTCATCTAATGACTTGCCCTGAAGAGAAAAATGTAGAAAGGCTGAATGGAAATCAAAATATCTAAGTGACTGGAATTTAACCGTAGCTTAATTGATCAACTCAGCTGTTAATTAACAGAATTATTAGGTTGTCCAGGCCAAAATGGCGGAGGTTTGATTGTTGTTAATTTCGATTTGCTGAGGAAATTAAATTAAAATTAAATGAAAGAAGGCAAGACGGGTAATTTGTGTTAATTTCGTGCATATATCACTTGAGGTTTAGTCTACAAACTGGGGTGAAATTTTCGATTTTCGATTTTTTTCATTAATTTTCTAATAACTTATTAATTATTGTTAATTTCAGCCTGAAATTTCGCATAAATAATTTTGTGGTATCTTTCGGTAAAATTCTGAAATTTGAGCTAGCTACGAAATGCCTATTCGAAAATATCTTTGATCAAACTTCCACCACTTTGGCCCAGACAAGCTAATATTTATATTCATTATAAATAGAGCATTCTAACCAGCCCCATTTCATAATTGCATTGAAAACTTTAATCTCTGGATCAATCATCAGGTTAAGCTTACAAATTTAATCAATTGTTTCGAAGGGAAAATTCAACCAAAAGGCCGTCTTGACAATTTTCAGAAAATGGCGACAGATGAAAGCATTCAGAACACTTGAATTGACCAATTTAGAAGTCGAAAACACTTGATACTTCAAATGTTAATGAAATATTATAATAAATTAAAACTGAAAACAGTCAATCGAATTTTTAACTAACATTGAATACTGTAAAACATCATCTTAAGTGTCTTTCACACATAGACGTTATCGTCAATTGTGAATAAACCTTACGACACAAGTCTTCATCAAATTCAGTTCTTACAGTTCTTGTATCTAAAGATGAGCTTCAAGAAATCATTTCTCAGTGATTGCAATGTGCATTTGGATATGAGTGATGCTATTTGTTAATCGAAAATTTATGCCTGTTAATGATCCAGAATGTAAAATTTCATATTGAAAATCAGCGAAATTAAATCAAATACATTACAATTTAATGCTGTCTCTAAACTTTTTGCAGTGTTCGTAAAAAGTAATGTAATGAAAATCGACAAATAATTTTAATAGTTTGATTATCAATCAAGTTATCGATTTGAACTGGTTTATTTTTACAGTCTTAATAACGTATTGTTAAGGACAATGATAAGTTAATTGTGTCAACGAACCGAGTTGAGGTTATGGTTCAAGCAAGTAATAATCATTTGCAACGGTAGGAGAGCTGGGGTCAAAGTGATCAACTTATTAGATTCGTCGCGACTATAATCAGAACTCCACTTAGAGTATGGATAAACACAAGAATCTTGTAACAAATGACCGATTAAACTCCATTCTTGATTAGTAATATTGAAACAAAAGACATTTTTCGTCGATTTATCAGTCAAAAAAACTCGATCAGCATCATCTACACTTGAAGTTAAAAACAAACTTTCGTATTTAAATGCATATTCTTCTGCCAGTTTCGGAAGCTCAATCTTCTTGAAATGTTTGTCGGGAACATTGAACTTGCCAAACTCAAGATTATTTGTCAGGATGAAGATATTATTGGACAGCACAGTTACACGAAGTTTTATCAACCAATGATGAAGTCTAGAATTTTTCATGATTTCATTGGTAGTTTGCATTAGCTTTGATAACCAGTACTCAAATTCCTCATGGCCGTGAGTATTAATAAGTCTTGAATCAGTTGTGTCACGTATTGTGCATCTGTAGAAAGGCCAGAAACCAAGAGGTTTCCTCCAATATTTTTTCCTAAAATATAAAAATAAAATTTTGAGAACAGAAAATTATTGATCAATTGCAATAAATGATTGCCAGTGCATCCAAAGAAATGGATCGAGTGAAGAGGTTGATCGAGATGCAAGGCTAGTTTGCTGTAAGTTAAATACGCATACGACACTGAAGGCTGGAACGAGTGTTGACTTTAGAATAACTTACCAATTTTTCACAACAATTTTATAGGTGCCAGACACATAGAGTCTGAAATCAGTATCCTTGAAAAAACGATATTTATTTTGATTCCAATCAATTCGAATTGCTTTACTTCCAGAATGGTAGAAAATATCAGAAACATGTTCATCATGAAACAGATTCAGTGATATTGATTCGTCCAATTTCATATCTCGATTAAACAGGAACAGAAAATTACTGTCAAGTACTGTGATTCGCAAATCTGTACCCTCCAATTTTTCAATAATTATAAAGCAATTTTGAAGAGATCTGTCAGAGATACAATCACAATTATGTTTGGTAGGCAAGCAAGATTTTGGCTCGAAACCTGATGATTCGAACGTTCCATTTTCCTTTATTTTAAATAAATCTTTCTCTTTTAAATGACACCATCGAACTAATCTTAACAATCTTGCAAGATGACACTTTCTAGAATCAGCATTAAAATCGACCCAACTGGCGATTGCCTCGAAGACCTGCATCTCTGAATAAATCATCAGATCCAAAGTACAAATGTACTCTATTGTTTCAACAGGATAGTTTAACCAAACAGCGGTGTTTGCTATCTTCAAGAAATGGCGACAGATGAAAGCATTAAGAGTATCAGAATTGATCAATATGGAAGTTTCAGTGACTTGAGGTATAACAAGTGGAAGATGCTCAATCGAAAATCTTATGCGAAAATATTCAAGACAGTCTTGTATCAAGTGATCCATTCCAAAATAATCACTTATGTTACACAGATTTATTACATTATCCATCTCGATGAAGATACCATCGAATTCAAGCCAAATAAGAAACAATTTAAAAGCGTTTTCATCCAAGTCCAATACAACTTTGTTTTCCTTTGATTCCAAACAACCATGGCTCAACATCTTTTCAAAATAAGGTATTCCACGAATTAGTTGCTTGTTGACACGATGCTCCTTCGACCGATTAATTATTGTAAGTTGGTCATCCATTTCTAATGAATTCATATTTGACACACAAAAAGTAAAAACAAAATTCTTAAACTTATGCTACACAATCAAGAGGAGAGTAACAGATGACTAAAAACAAAAAAGAAACGTTTGTTTATTCAATTTTATCCAATATCCACTGAAATCTTTTCCAGAGCTGAAACTAAAGCACACGTTCAAAAAAGGGATCAGTTTACGCCCAGCCATTTGAACCAATCAAGCTACTGTGCATAATATTTGGAGTCACTCACAAGTTCCCAGATTAAAATAAGCCCAACTTTTATCCAAATTAAAAGTTTCGAGGTAAACTAAAAAGCTAAGTTGAAGCTCTAATCAAAATCTCCAACTATAAATTTTTTAGTTTTAACCAATCAGTGATGTTTGACATTGAACTTTGTCTCAAAAAGTTAATTATCAATAGATGCCGACTGAGAAAAAATTGCTTTAACTGACAAGTGTTGTTAGTCCTTAAGTAATCTTTCAGCGATTATCGGTGAGTTCAAAAGAGACTGACAAGTGAGTTTTGTTTGCAAATATTGTGCATTTTACAGCTAATCTTTTGTAAGCTTTTAGGTGTGAAGTCATAAACTTGGTCTTTCTAAAACTAATTAGTTCAATCCAGCAAAATTTCAAGCCGCCTTTTCACGAAGATTAGTCAAATGGGCAGACTGGACTCACAACTTTGTCTAAAAATGTATTTTAAAGTAACTTTTGGTCAATGTAGAAGCAGTATGACAATTTTAACTTTGAGTCACTCAGACTCAATTGCTTTTAGAGTTTATAAAAAATCTAGATTTCAGTTCATTTTAATCATCTGAATGAATTAGCTCATTGTCAATGGTATGCATAAGATTTTTTGTTTTGAAGACGCAGTAATTGTCAGTTTATTAAATATAAATGTATAAAACTCGTAGATTAATAACTATTGCTACATGAATGAACTATTCAATTGTTAACATACAACTCGCAACTTATCAGAGATGGTTAAATTAATTAAGAGTGCTTTCAGAGTGGATTCAGTCTATCATGAGTGTTGAACAATAACCATCTGTGAAGAGGTGATATTAACAATGGACATTCTTGTCATTCATTCTTGACAAAGAAATGGTTTTTCTTGTCGTTGTCGAGAAAACTTTAACAGATTATCTTATTCAAAATGTGTTTCAATTATAATCAATGAAAAATCATAACTTTAGACACTTTCTGCAGCTAAAAATCTTTATTCTTCAAGGATAGTTCAATCAACAGTTTATAAGTTACGCAAATTTTCCCTCATTTTTTATATTTGCAGTAATGAAACTACAACTTGACAGTCCGAATACTCATCAAATCAGACTCGATTCAATTAGATTTCAATTATCAACAAAATCTCTAACTAACGCTAACTCTAAGCTGAATTTGTCAGTTATTTAAATTCGTAAAATTTTGCAAAAAACTCACAGATTCTTAAAATAATTTAGAGAAGCGGATTGAGGTCTTAATTTTTTGCAGTTAAATAAAAGTAACTGAAAGTGAATGTTCACTCCAATCAGTCTTAAGTTTAGGAAAAAGGTCAGAGACAAGTTAATTTTTAGGTGTCGCCATCTTAAGCATATACAGTTTCAAGAGACACTGAACAATAGAAATCTATGAAAAATTAAATTCGATCTTAAAGGTGCTTTTATTTCTTGTTAAATGGTGACTATGAAAAATCTCCGATTTTCATAACTTAATCCTGACTACTAGTGTATTATCCGGAATGAAAGAAATAAAATATTATAGAATAGATTATGGTTCAAATGATTATTGATTGTACGTTTATTACAAGAATTTTAATTTTATAATTTAGTTGCTTCGACAGTTCATTATTTAATGGTTCGGTTTAAACTTTTTAGATGGTTTAAGATTAATGTAAGTGCTGATCAAGTTCCACGGAATAAAAGCTGAAGTGAAAGTGAACAGCTTATTGGACCCTTTTTGCTTATCATCAGAGAAACAGTTAGTCATTCGAATGGCGGAACTCCATTTTCGAGTGTTGATATTGAAAATAAAAAAATCTTTTGTGATTTTATCAATCAATATAACTCGATCATCATAAGCAGGGCTTGAAGTTAAAATCAAATTTACATATTTGAATTTCTTGCTCCAAAGGTGATGAACATAAGTTCTCTTAAGTGTATTATTGATACTGTCAATTTTAAACTCGATGAATTCAAGATCAGATGATAGCATGTATATATTATTGTCCAAAACTGTTGCCAAAAAACTGTCAGGGCAACTTGATTTTATCATACTTTCAGGTTTTGGTGTTAACGAATAAAACAGACCATCATATTGGCCACAAACCAAAATAAACTTTTCACTTCCTTCACTAAATAAGTTTCCATAAACTCTTTTGCTTTTTAAAACGTCCGTAATCCTTTCAAGGCCATCATACTCACTAATGTTAAAAAATATAAATTATTATTTGATAACAAAGGAGTTGTGTAAATCTTCAATACGCTATTACTACTTCGATACTTACGTGAAATCACTTCTAATGATAAGTGCATGCAATGCTTCATAATAGGGGATTACCGAATCAAATAGTTTATATTTATTTTGATTCCAATCTATTCGAATCACTTTTCTCCCGGAATCAAAAAGAATATCAGAAATATGTTCATCATGAAAAATTCGCAAAGACATTGATTCATCCAATTTCATGACTCGGTTCATCAGTTGCACAAATTTATTGTCAAGTACTTTGATTCCCAAATCTTTGCCATCCAATTCCTCAATCATGATAAAATAGTTTTGTTTGGTTCGGTTGCGTGTGCAATCACAATTAACCTTTCGAGGAGTACAAAATACTGGCTCGAAACCTGAAGCTTTTTTAACAGCCCATTTTCTTTAATTTTAGATAAATCTTGCGCGTCCAAATGACACCAGCGAACTAGTTTTAACAGCCTAACGAGATAACACTTTCTAGAACCAGTTTTCCAATTGATCCATCTCATGATTGCATTGAAAACTTGAATTTCAGAATAAATCAGCAGATCCAAAGCACAAATATATTCAATAGTTTTTATTGGATAATTTAACCAGAAAGTAATATCTGGATAATTATTTTTAGCAAAAATATTTGCTATCTTCAAAAAATAGCGACAAATAAAAGCATTGAGGGCCTCAGTGTTTATACATTTAGATGTTGAAGAAACTTGAGGTAAAACAGCGGGAATTTGTTCAATTGAAAAATTATCATGGAAATAGGTGATACACTCTTTAGAAATCCGTTCTATTCCTAAATAATCGGCCATCATGCACAAATTTATCACGTAATCCATTTCGATAAATGTACAAGCTCGTTCAATACAATCGAGAAAAACTCCAAACGCTTTTTCATCAAAATCCAGTTCAACTTTGTTCTCCTTTGATTCCAGCACATCGTGGCTCAACATCTTTTCAAAATAAGGTATTCCACGAATTAGTTGTTTACTTATACGATGCTCCGTGGATCGATTAATTATTATAAGTTGGTCATCAGTTTCTAGCGAGTCCATATTGATTTAAAAATTTAAATTCAAAAGCAAAATTCTGAAACTTATACTAGACTACCAAGAGGAAAATATTGGAAGTTTTAATGTTCTTTCGGAATAACCTAAGAATATAAATGTTATTAAATGTTACTTACAATGGTTAATATGAGCAATTTTTCAAGCTCCAACACTCATGAATCAGGAGTGAACGCAAAAGATATAATAATAACTGCCACCCAGTCTTATAGCCAATCAGTGACTATTGTTTTACAGCCTTTGGCGCCATCTCTAGTTGTTAAGCTAACTGACTTATCGTCTGAATTAGAGCTGCAGACAAAGAGTAACTACAGCTGTATTACTCTTTGGTTGCAGATGATTTGATTAATCATTAATTGATTACAGTAAGTCCCCCCTCAATAGGGGTCGTTGAAAAATTGCTTCTCATTATCTGGTACCTTACTGTATATTCTTTTAAAAGAAACAGATTAGGACATGCAATTAATCGATTATAATTAATAACTTCTGATCAAGTTTTACTCATCTTCTCAACATTGTTCGATCGCTTTCTGTTTATTGATTTCAACCAGTTTTTTTCTGGTCAACTTTCAAATAAATTCATGATTTCCCAGGCAGATCTACATTACTTGTTAGGTCAATTAAATGAAAATTGGTTAAACACATTCAATTGCAATTTATGAGAAGTTTATCTAGAAGCATCTCGTTACTTGATTCTCCGGCTGATTTGACATACAAATGATAATTAAATCAATTAGTTGACCATTAAGAAAATCTAACAAGCAATGTAAGCAAGAAGAGGGATGTTTGTTTGATTGAATGTTAAACACTAACCAATTGCGATGTGAGATCCAGCTATGAGAACAGTTTTATTGGTCGATAACAAGTTCTAAAGATAACTGGAATTAAACTTTGGTAAACAATGGAAATTCGATATCCAAAAGTCGTTTTTGTCGTTAAAGAGCAAACATTAGATTTGATTTCTAAATTAGAAGTTTAAAAACATTCTTCAAGGACAGTTTGATCAACAGCTTATTATAATAATTCAAACCTCATTCTCAACACTTTTTTCTGTTTCCGATTGCAATTGATGTCTCGATAAGTCGAAACACAATTTCGTGTCGATGCGATTGGCGATTCTCAATGAAAATTTGATACAAAAACTTTACTATTTTCTTACTTCTATTTGATGATAGAAAACTAGGAAATAGAAAACAAGAAAACTGGAGTATTGGTTGTGTATTGAATGTACCGTAATCAGTCCTGATCGAAGCAGTTTAAAGTGATAAATAATTATCCATCGTATTAAAATGATTTATTGAAATAACTGAGTTTTAATTTGAACACGAGATAAGTTTGAATGATTTTTTGTTAAATGAGTAAATATAAAAGTTTAATCAACTAATTCTCGGAGTTTAAGCAATTTCTGATGATGTTCATCGGAAGAAAAGTTTAAGTACAAGTTAACAGACTTTTGGAATCCTTTCGGCCATCAGCAGAGGACAAAGATAACATTTGACCATCTTTTGGAACTTCTTTTAGTATCAACGTTGAAACAGATAGAATTTCTTGTACATGTATCAAACAACATAATTTATCAACAGCTGGTACTGTCAAAACTGAATTCATTACAACACAAACGATTGCTCCAAGTTTAATAAGATTAATTTCTTGAGAATTGAAATCGTATGATACAAATTTATTTGACAGCAATTAAAGTGCATTGTCCAGAAATTTTCACTTGCCTTGAGACTGAAGTTGTTCATATATGATAACGTTCTAATTAATATCTCTCTCTCTCTCTTTGATAGTCTCCTACAGCGAAAACGAACGCCAGCATTCCACGAATAAAGGTTGATCACTAAAGCATGAAAGAAAGTATGATGAATTAAATATTTGATAATTTTCTATTTTGTTGAAATCATAACAGTCTTTGTAATATCAATATGGAAATAGTATAGAGAGATTATTAAATGTACTGTTATCAGAGTTTTAAATTAATATTAAAAATCACTTACTCTTCGTTGTTTTTAATGAATCAATAGGAAGTATTAGTTATGTTTACAGTTCATGTGCTTTCTGATAGCATTCATCGATATAAATGCTGCTGTAAGAGTCAACAGCTTGTTTGATTCCTTTTGGTCACCAGTAGAGCTTTTATTAGTCATGAGATTGATTGAACTCCATTCATTGGTTTTCACATTGTAACAGAGGCCATCTTTTGTAAACTTATCTATCAAAATGACTCTATCATCATAGGATTGCTTGGAAGTAAGAAGCAAATTTTCATAGTTCAAATTATTTTCAAGTCGAGTCTTTTTGTTACATTCGTCGAAGATTCTACAGCAAATGAATTCAAGATCATGTGTCAACATGTAAATATTATTGTTTAAGAAAGTTGCGTGGAAACTATGATCGTTGTTCATGAAATGGTCAAATTTATCATCAATGTGAGTCGAGCGGAGATGAAATTCAACATCCTGTTCTTTTCCGTAAAACCATTTATTAATAGAATTACAGAGAGAAGATCTACTTATTGACCATTCATGTGATTTCGGAATATCAGTACGGATTAAAAATAATCTGTGGTCATCTTCGATGAATGCACTTCCAGAAATGCCGAGTGAAAAGTCGCAACTACATGCACTGAAATATGGTACTCTGAAATAATTGAATTTTTGACATAATTAATGTAATTAGGTAATGGGATAAAATGATCATTTACTTACACATATTTTGTAATGAAGTATTTGTAGATTTTATCATGATAAGTTTTATTATGTAAAGAATCGAGAAAACAATATCTACTTTGACACCAATCAATTCGAATTCTTTTCCTTCCAGAATCAAAAAATATATCAGAAACATGTTCATCTTGAAAAAAATCAACAGAGATTGATTCATCCAACTTGATGACTTGACTAATCAATGGAAGCAAATTATCGTCAAGTATGTTGATCCGTAAATCTGTACCCTTCAACTCTTCAATCATGATGAAATAATCTTGCTTGGTTCGGTTGTAAATATGATCACAATCTATTTTGTTGTCCAAAAATATCGGATCCAAGTCTGTAAAAAATTTCAGGTCTTTCTTGATTTCAGATAACTCTTCATCTTTCAAATGGCACCACCGAACTAACTGCAACAATTTTTTGGTATACCACTTTCTAAAATAAGAATTGTCGTTCACCCAATCCTTTATTGCATTGTAAACTTGCCTCTCTGTATAAATCATCAGATCCAAAGCACAAATATATTCAATAGTTTCAAAAGGATAACACAACCAGGCAGTTGTTTCCACTAATTTCATGAAATGGCGACAGATGAAAGCATTAAGTGCACTTGAATTAATCCATTTCGATGTTATCGTAGCTTGAGCAATAATAATTGGAAGAAGTTCAATTGAAAAGTTAGCATGGAAATAGTTGAGACAATCATTCAGCAAATTATCTATTCCAAAATAATCAAGCAAGTTACAGACATTTATAGCGTTTTCCATGTCTATAGACTTTATACCAAATTCAACACATTTGAGTACTGATTCTAAGGCTTTTTCATCAAAATCAAGCTGGAGTTTGGCTGACTTCGATATCAATAGATCACTGTCCAACATGTTATAAAAATAAGGTATTTTATAAATTAGTTCTTTACTTATCTTGTGTTCCATTGATCGATTCACAATTGTTAGTTTATCATCAGTTTCTAATGAACTCATGGCTGATACACAAATTTAAATTTAAACACAAAATAGTAAATTTCTTGTAATAAAATTCAAATTGCACAATAAATTTATACGAGATTCAGTATTACAGATAACTTGTATCTCAAAGCATCAAAATTGAAATAACACGAAACTTCAATGTGTACTGGAAGGTATAATAAAGTGAAAGGGAGTTGGGTTTATATGCTCGGGTTAATGGTTGAAAATAGTAACAATTTAAATTTGTCGTCTGACAAAGCCGTTACTTTTTAGACGGAACAATTAGCTGGACACTTAAGAATTGGTTTAACAGATTGATAGTTGATTTATTGAATTTTATTTAATGAAGCTTCAAATAGCTTAAGCGTTGAAGAAACTTGGAGACAATTTTAGGGATAAGGTTTGCAGATGGTAAACTAACCCGACTAACTCGTCTGATGTGAACTCAGAGCATGTTCTTACCGGAGTCAGCCATTGGAGCCAATCAGTGCAAGCTTTAATTTTACGTCTTTCATTCGTTTGACTGGTTCATCGTCTGAATCATTTGCTTGTTAAACAACCAAAAGGATTCTACAAGTTTAAATTGAGTTGGGTAGAGTTAAAAGTATCGGGTTGCATCAATCATGTTTGGTTCTATTTAATAAAATAAACTGCTCAATCAGTTTGTGAAAGATTCAGCATAACGAACAATTGGTAAAGAATTGGCATTTATTTGAGTTTTTACTTTTGGCAATGCAAAAGCAAAATTGACCAAGCAATTAGCAGACTATTTATGATCAAGAACAATGCCTTAATAAGCTTCGCATGATAATCATTAACACAAAGACGTAATATTTACTTGTTCGTTAACACCTCTTAATTGGTGTTAAGCAGTAATTGAACCATTTGATCAACCAATTATTAGATGATCGCAAGATGGAACATTTTTTGAACCTCTAATGCCGAATTACAATCAACAAAGTTTTTGATTGCATGAGCTCATTTTTTACCATGAGCAAAGCGCTGTAATAGAATTGAATGAATAATAAAAGATATTCGCGAAATCAAAGTAGCAAATGATGGGATAAAATTGATTTGATTGTATAATAACTTTTAACTTTTTTTAGACACTCAACAGGGTTATAAATAAAATAGTCAATCTGATGAATAAATAATGAATTTCATGAGAATCATTAATCAATTTACGTTTTAAACATGGTCTTATAACGTTTATCGATCATTGTGATGATTTGTGCTGAATTGTTTACAAAAAGAAAATTGTACAAAATTCAAGACGTACTTGTATTTGATTTCATGATTTCATTTGCAAGGAAAATAAACCTTAAACTTGTTTACAAATCTACGGTTCTTGATTAGGTATAAATGTCATTTTTTCCACCACATTTTCAAACAATTTTTTTCATAAGATTGTCCACCACCCGATTCTAACACATCCACTATTAATCACCATCATATCCCAAAAGCGGTCAACAATTTGATGGCTTTGGGTGGCGGAAAATCTTATAAAAGTTTGTTTGAAAATTTGGTGGAAAAAAGCCACTCTAAAGTGGTGGACAATTTTGTTGAGAAAAGTCTCTTTAAAAAGTGAGGATGTTTGATTTGGTTGATTTGTGAGATTTGGGTGGCTGACAATACGATGAAAAAAGTGGTGGAAAAAGCCGGCCCCCATTATTTCCATTCCGTTCTCCCTCTAAGATTAGTTACACAGTACGCGAATGAAATTAGATTTCGCCTTTGTCCATTTATGGTTAATTTATTGACAATTTTTAATCAAAATTGGTTTATTTATGCACCATGGCAAATGGCACCATCGAACTAACTTTAACAATGCTTTAAGATGCACTCTCTCAAATCAATCTTTAAATTCACCCATTTAATGATTGCATCGAATATTTGGTATTCTGAATGAATCATGAGGTTCAAAGAACATATACTAAGGTATGACTGGTAAAGTTTTGGACAAATTTTTAAGTATTGATTTGAGACAGTTAGACTAGACTCACAGGCACCATTAAATAGTGCAATCGAAGGTAAACCTCTCAAAAATACGTCGTGAAAAAATTAATTAATTTTGATAAAAAATTATCAAGTTATGGCCTTAAACGGACAAAGGCGTCAAAATCTGATTTTTCCTTTCGTTAAAAACCTAATTTTTTCAACTTCATACCAGGGTTTTGAAGAGTCGAAAAATGACGGAATTTGGCCTCAAAGCTGTTCAAAAAGATACAATTTGCCTAATATAACTCAACATAGATCGATTGAAAGGTTCAGGTCATTATTGAAACAAAATTTCACGGACATTGGGTGGCAGACCAAACTTTTCATCAATTCAGAATCGATTTTTTAGAAAAACACTTCTATTTCGAATATTGAAAAAACGTTTTTGCACAATAAAAGATCGGGAATTTATCAACAGTAGAGAAATGACCTTCTGATCTTATCGATTCGGAATAATATTCGAAATCGAAGTCCGTTTTCCTAAAAATTCAATTTAGAGTTCATGAAAAATCGAGTTTGCATCAAATGTCCGTGAAATTTAGTTCCGATGGTGACCTGAATCTTACAATCGATCTGTTTAGAGTCATATTAAACGAATTACATCTTTTTTAACAACCTTGAGGCCAAATTTGGCCATTTTTCGAGTCTACAAAATCCTGGTAGGAAGTTGAAAATATAAGGTTTTTGACGAAAGGCAAAATCAGATTTTGACGCCTTTGTCCATTTAAAGCCACAGCTTGGCGATTTTTGATCAAAATTGGTTTATTTTTGTACAAAATATTTTTGAAAAGTGTACCAACATTTTAATGTTTAAACGGTGCCTGTAAGTCTAGTCTAACTGTCTCAATTGAATGGTGAAAAATTTGTCCAAAACTTTACCAGTCATACCTTAGGTCAAGGGACTTTTAGGGACATAAAAAATTGTGAAAAAACATTGTGAACTGATCGACAAATTTTTTTATAAAATCGCTTCCTCAGTTGAAACTTCAATTAAATTTGGGTCAATTGTAGAATCTGATTTTATTTTAGCTTTTAGTTGTTTTTATTTGGAAGATGTTTATTCATCAAAAACTGAAGTAGTGTCGATTGAATGTAGCGTGAACTGTCATGATTGCAGCAGTTTCTAGTGAAAAATAATTATCCATTGTATTAAATGATTTATTTAATTAAAATAACTGAATTTCAATTTGAATACAAGAAAAAGATAAGTTTAAATTATTTTTTGTTGAATGAGTAAACATCAGATTATAAGTTTAGTTTAAAGAAATAACTAATTATTTAAGCCAATTATGAGGATTTAGTAAGTTCATGAAGTACTCAGTATATGAATAATTTTAGTCAACTTACTAATTCTCTGAGTTACGATTGGAGTTTAAGCAAGTTCTGATGGTGTTTAACGGAAGAAAAGTTGGTAACAGTCTAGTTATACGGACACAAAACAATAACAAAGCCATGCGTCCCTTTGAACTCGCTTTAGTGTTGATGTCGAAACAGATATAATTTGCGGTGTTTGTATCAATCACCATAATTTTATCACCAGCTAGACTTGATGTTAATAGAGTACTGTCAAAAACGAACCAATCTTCACACAAGCGTTGGCTCCAAGTCTGTTTAAGCATACGATATCCAATTTCAAACTCGTACAACATCCGTTTATTTGTCAGCAAGTAAATCTTATTGTTCAAAGTAGTTGCTTTGCATTGGTATAGATGCGAAAACATATTATAATTTTCGTAGATTGGCCTTGAAAAATAGTGCATTTCTCTCTCTTTAAGGTAAATCAGAATAAAATTTTCGGCTCCTTCTAAAAGTTTAAAACCATCTTGCATATTTTCTGTATTCCCAAAATACGTGTTAAGATGAGTTCCCCTGAAGCATAAAAGAAATATCTTGAATTAAATATTTGTTGATAAAAATACATTTGACTGAAGTGACTTCAGTGAAGTCATAGCAGTATGAAAATGTATCAATATGAATGTTGATACTGTGAAAATAAATATGAAACAGAGAGAGATCAATAATCAGATTCTCATCATAAAAGTTAATGCTTACTGTTCGGAGTTTCCATAGATTCTTTTCAGTAATTCAATAAAAGAGCCGTGAGAGCTCATCCACACATATTTATTTAGTTTCCAGTCTATTCGAAGCGGACCCGTTCCGGATTCGAAAAGAATGTCAGAAACATGTTCATCGTGGAAGATATTTGAGGAGATTGAATAATCCTGTTTAATCGCATGACTCAAAAGTTGTGTGAAGTTGTTGTCAAATACTTTGATTAGCAAATCTTTGTCATCCAATTTCTCAATCATGACGAGATAATTTTGCTTTGTTCGATTGAAGGTACAGTCACAATTAACCTTTTGAGGAGCGCAAAATATTGGCTCAAAGCCTGACGATTTGAACGATCCGTCTTCTTTTATTTTAGATAAGTCTTGCTCGTTCAAATGGCACCATCGAACTAGCTTTAATAATCTTTTGAAATGGGATCGTGCCTTGAAATAGGCCCATTGCAAGATTGCATTGAAAACTTGATATTCTGAATAGACCATCACGTCCAAAGCACAAATATTAATATATTCAATCGTTTCAACAGGATATTTAGACCAAAAAGTTGTATTAGCTATCTTCAGGAAATAACGGCAGATGAAAGCATTAAGAGCACCAGAGTTTATGCATTTAGATGTTGCAGTCGCTTTAGGGATAACAAAGGGAAGATGAGCCATTGAAAAGTTTTCCTTGAAATAGGCGATACACTCTTTACAAATCCAATCCAGACCAAAATAATCAGCCAACTCGTACAAATCCATTACGTAATCCATCTCGATCAAGATAAAGCTATAATTGCTTCTAATCCAGTTGAGAATTATTTCAAAAGTTTGTTTATCAAAATCCAATTCAACTTTGTTTTCTTTGGATTCCAAGCATTCATGGCTCAACATCTTTTCAAAATAAGGAATTTTACTAATTAGTTTTTTACTAATACGGTATTCTTGTGCACGATTCACTATCGTTAGTTGGTCATCAGTATTTAATGAATCCATATTTGATACACTCTAAAATCAAAAGCAAAATGCTAAAACTTATGTCACACAAGCAAGAGGAGATAATAGATGATTTTTTAATATAAAGAAACACCAGATAAGAGTGTTTTTTCAATTTAACATTCAACAGCTTTTCAACCTACTCAGACAAAATTACAATCGAAACTGAAAATTTTCAGAAAGTTTTTGTGGCTAAACCACAAGCTCAAAAAATGTATTAGTTAACGCCCACTCATTTGAACCAATCAGTGAACTTTAATGTCTCCCATTTTCACTGCAGCTTAATTGTTCAGAATCTGAGCTTCAGATAACTGGCTCATCGTCTGTATTAACTCTTAGAGTATGGAGGCATTAAATTCTGATTGAATAGATCGAGTCATGCAATTACCGTACCCGTTTGCTTCAAAATGCTCACACATTAAGAGTACTTGCATTCATTATTCTTAGACCAATCAACCAATTCAACTTAATAAATCAAGAATCAAATCTGACTGCATAAGCAATGCAATTTGATAACATTTTTGTAGGTTCTTGAATAATCCATTATTTAAATATATCGTCGTCCATAATAAAATCTGTTGAATAAGAATGATGATTGTAAGGTTAGATATTGAGGCTAAAATTTTTTAGGCCAATAGCCAAAATCAAGAGAACTGGCGGTAAATTGAAAAAAGTTTCCAATCGCTGATATTCATCAGATATTTTATCGACGAAAAATGAGTTTCAGATCTCCTACTCTTACGATCACAGAATCGCCTGGTTTAAACGAAAATTGAAGTGGTCTTTTGTACAGAAAACAACGATTTTATTTCACGAAATAAGTGCATTTGATCTACCATTAAAAGTTCCATTAGTAAAATGCTTTAATTGAAATAATCTGATTCCAATCAATCTGATCACAAAAGGTGATCGAAGTTTTAACGCTGGCCTCGATTTACTATAAAACTGTCGAACCTTCAGAGAAATTTTTCAATACCACTCAGCGGACTCAGTTTTTATGCCCCAACAAACCTAAAAAATCCTAGCTCTTAACTCGGAAGTCTTATTTTTTGGCATCAATCCTTGTGAATAAATTTGAAAAGCGACTTTGAAAATCATTTTTGCCACTGTGCACGGAAAATGCACTATTTCGGGACCAGCTTTTTTCCACCACTTTTTTCCACCACTTTTTTACCGTATTGTCCACCACCCAAATCATACCGAATTTTGACCACTTTTACACCATCTAACACATACACTATTAATCGCCCCCATATCCCAAAAATTCGGTATGATTTGGGTGATGGATAATCTTATAAAAAATTGTTTGACAATGTGGTGGAAAAAAGTGGTGGAAAAAAGCCACTCTACTAGGTGGACAATTTGGTGGACAATTTTATTGAGAAAAGTCTCTTTTAAAAGTGATAATGTTTGATTTGGTTGATTGGGTGGGTGTGTTAGATTGCGTGTTGGACAATATGGTGGACAATACGGTAAAAAGACGGTAAAAAAGTGGTGAAAAAATGTGGTGGAAAAAAGCCACTTTTAAAGTGGTGGATAAAAGTGGTGGATAAAGTGGTGGATGTGGTGGAAAAAAGCCGGTCCCACTATTTCTCATTTCATCTCAAATTTTCGTACAATATCATGATTTAAAGCTGATACACCTCAAGCTCAGATATAATCAATCATGATTTTTTAGAAAGGGAAAATGAAAATTGATTCAACACATTCCATTGCAATTTATGAGAAGTTAATCTCTAGAAGCGTCTTGTTATTTGATTCTCATGTTGTTTGACATACAAGTGATAATTAAATCAATCAATTAACTATTAACAAAATCTTAGCAGGAAAATGGATCATAAGTGTTAAACACTAACCATTTGTAATGTGAGAATCAATGATAACAGTTTTATCGGTCGTTAACAGATTTTGAAGATAGCTGGAATAAGATTTTGGTAAAATGGACATTTGATATCGAAACAATTGTTTCTCGTTGCCATTAACTAGAAAACATTTTAAGCTTATCTTGGTCAAATTATTTTACAATTGTTATCAGTGAAAACTTTTAACTTATGAGTCATAAGTTATGACACTCTTTTAAACTAATTAATACTCATTTGCAATGTGAGATCCAGTGAAAACTGTACTCAGGACGAGCTTAATACATCCATAATACAATTTAAGGCAGCTTCCTTCTTTGTACTCGATGACTATCTGAAATAAACGTCAAATATTATTGTAATTGGTTGCATCAAAGATGGAAATCAATATTGATTATTTAAATGAAGTTGTGAAGTCAGGTGAGTAAAGATCAGAATGATAGTTATGAACATAATCATATGATTTACCATCAAAATCGCCAATAATCATGTCCATGTACATTTGGGTTAAGGGATAGATTGGTTTCTACGCATATAGAGTGACTTTTGCCTGGACCAAGAAAATTTCTCGCCACTCTGTAGACATTAGGTTGATATTCAAAAAAACAACTCATTCTCGAGGCTCCTGAGAATACCCGGATAACAAATAACTAAAGACTTAAGATTAAGACTAAAGTGACTTCTGTTTTAGCTAATTTAATTTTGAAGCTGACTATGTGCTCCAGTCCATATCAACTTAAAGTCAAAGAAAGAGGATCCAGTATTAGATAATGTAGCTCGACAAATTCAATTTGATTCTTTAGGAATTTGAAAGATGACCAAAAGTATTAATTAATAATTGCTGCTTTGTTGAACACTAAAAAGTATGAGCCTGTAATTTCAATGCATAGATTATTCCATTTGAACCAGAAAAGTTGAAATTGAATTGAATTGGTCTAACAGGAGACCTGTAAAATATTACGATGAATTAAAAGCGTATTTTCCCTTAATTTCGATGTAATCAAGGAAAATTTTGAACGAAGACATTGATTTTTAACAAGATAATTATGTTTTATTTATTCTGATTTTAACTGAAACAAAAAGGTTAGCTTAAAAAAGGAAAAAAGAAAGCTTATAATCTTAGCTAAAATATCAATGAGTTTTTTGCACTCAAAGTATGAATAATTATAGATTCTTCAAAGGATCTACCAAAAGAATAGGGAAAACTGCCTAGCATGGAATTTTTTTCTTATGATCATATATTATGTAAAATTTTATGTTGAATTCAAAACTTTACTAAGACTAAGAACTGACTAAATGACTAAGAAAGTGGTTTCACCTTTGGTTATCAATTCGTATTTTCAATACATGGAATTTTGCCATCTATCAAAAAAATGACCAGTTTTGCGTCATTTAGGATCAAAATAAATCACTTTTTCGAAATCAGCATTAAATTCTGCATCTGAAAAAATGACTCAGAAAGTGGTTTCACTTTTGGTCATTTTGCTATTCGTATCCATGCAATTTCAACGTTTTTGTAAGATATCTCGGAAACGAAAAATTATTTTGAAAAATGGATTGAAGAAATGAATTCAGCATGCGTTTTACATCATATATGTTCATTACAAGATAATTTGTTTTTTAGGCAGTTTTGGCCTTCCTCCTTTATTATTTTTCAAGTAAGTGCTGATAGTATCCAGCGATATGAAAGTCGAGGTTAAAGTTAGAAGCTTATGAGTTGAATCTTGGACAACTGGAGATTTACGGTCACAATCAATGATTCGTCCGATTGAACTCCATTGTTGAGTGTTGACGTTGAAACAAAAGGCATCCTTTGTGGACTTATCAATCAAAATCACTCTATCATCATTGGCTTTTCTAGAAGCTATAAGTAAGTTACCCAAGGGCAGACCTTTTTTAAACCTTTCAAGTCTGATAATTGTTTTCTCGTGCGTATAAATGTTGAACTTGAAGAAATCTTGAGGCGAAATCATGTAAATATTATCATCTAAAATAGTTGAGCGGAAATAGTTTGATTTATTCGTTTGAAAATATTTCCAAATCAGTTCGGCATTTGCTGGCAAGCATACAGGTTCCAAACTGTCGCAAATCAACATAAAAATTTCTCTAGCTTCGTAAAGTAAAACTACGTGGGAACGAAATTTATCAGTTGCACATTTTGAATCCGCAATTATATATTTCCTGAAATGTCAAATGAAACAAGAAGGTGTGTACAATTAGGTAAAGTTATAAGTAACTGAATCTCAAAAAGACTCGATATTAATAACAATAAACGTAAATGCTTTAAGGATGAGATGATTTCATAAGACAATCGAATGGGGTAAAACATGAGATTTCAAACAATTACTTACAAGTTCTTCTCTTGAATGCAATTATGAATTTTAATGAAATAGGTTTCGTATTGCGATCGATCAAGCAAACGATATTCATTGCGTTTCCAATCAATTCGAATTCCTTCCATACCAGAATCAAAAAAGACATCAGAAACATGTTCATCGTGAAGAACGTCAATAGCCATACTATTGTTTAATTTGACGACTTGCTCAATCAATGGAAAAAAATTATTGTCAGATATTATGATTCGCAAACTTGTGGCATTCAATTCGTAAATCTCAATGAAATGCTCTTGCTGGGTCCGATTGCAATTAAGATCACAATCTCGTTTTAAGAAAGAGCATAATTTGGAAGGTTGATAATTTAGAGATTGAACCTGCTCCGTTATTCTGAATAATTCCTTATCTTCCAAATGACACCATCGCACTAACTTCAACAACCTGTTAAGATGGCACATTCTTGAGTCAGCCTTGAATTTTACCCATTTCATGATAACATCAAATACTTGGTATTCTGAATGAATCATCAGGTTCAAAGCACAAATATATTCAATGGTCTCAATAGGATAATCCAACCAAACAGATGTGTTCACTATTTTTGTGAAATATCGGCAAATGAAAGCATTAAGAGTACCAGAATTGATCAACATAGATGTTGAAGTCACTTGAGGTATAACAACAGAAAGATGCTCGATTGAAAAATTATCATTGAAATGTTTGATACAATCTTGTATCAAATCATCTTTTATCCCGAAATAATCCAACATGTTGCACAGATTTATTACATAATCCATCTCGATGAATATATTACCAAGTTCAAGCCAATTAAGAAATGATTTTAAAGCCTTTTCATCAAAATTCAGCATAACTTTGTTTTCCTTTGATTCCTTCAAATCCAAGCTCAACATCTTTTCAAAATAAGGCACTTTACGAATTAGTTGTTTGCTAATACGATGTTTTGTTGATCCATTAACTATTGTAAGTTGGTCATTACTTTCTAATGAATCCATATTGACACACAAATTTAATTTCAACAAAAAAATAATTTAGTTTTTGAAATGAATAACTACAGAAATTAATCAGACACTAGAGAATAAGCTTAACAGTCGACTCTTAACTGAGGTGTTCCGATATATCAGTAAGGCGGTAAAAAGTTTCTGGTGTATGGGAGGAGATAAAAATGCGCAAGAAAAGGGCGCCCTATGAGAAATTTTAATATCAGGTCCGTTGTGCAGCTAAAAGGCGTACAGCAGAATCTTTTTACCCACTCTGTATTTGTATCAGTGTACAAATCACGCCAGAAAAATTTGAGTTAATTCTGAGATTAGGCTAGTTTTGGCTATTCTCTGACAGCCTTTTTTAGCCTTTAACTTCTAATTGAATTTAAACTTTAATTTTCTCATGTGATAAGATAATGAAAACTCACAACAACTTGATTCTCTGAACTGTGTAGCAAAATAATAATGTTAAATGATACTCTTCAAGATAATTGTTTCCCGAATTGGAAAAGGTTGAAATTGTTTAAAATTGATAATTGGCTCTCAACATCGGAAAACAATTAGTACGTCTAATGCAGTTACATCTAATGTACATCTAATGTACATCTAATGTATATCCCAACGACATGTTAGATATTATAAGTATATGTTAGATCACTACATTGGAGATATTCGTGGATAAGAAGCGAGGCCCCTTGGGGTCGAGAATCTTATCTATGAATGGATGCTGGAAAGTCCGGGTAACAGGTTCAGAAGTTAAGTCATTCCACGGTCATGAGGAGAAATTTGAGTATTTGTTTAAAGAAATAATGAGAACTGATGATAAAATCAGATTAACTGATTTTCATTATCAGGTTATCAAACATCGTGTAACTGTGCTGTCCGATAATATATTCATCCTGACAAATGATTTTGAGTTTGGCAAGTTCAATGCTCCCGCCAAACATTTCACGAAGATCGAGTATCCAAAAACCATAGGCGCACATGTATGGACTTACGACAATTTGTATTTAACTTCAAGCGTAGATTATCCTGATCGAGTTTTTTTGATTGTCAGGTCCTCAAGAGATGTCTTTTGTTTCAATATTAATAATGAAGAATGGAGTCGTTTTGGCCGTTTGGCATATTCTTGTGCTAAACGGAGTCGTGATTATGGTCAAGATGAATCTAATAAGTTGATTACTTTGACGCCAGCTCTTCTACCGTTAAACATGATCAAACCATAACCACAACTCAGTTCATTGACGATTTTTAACACAATTATCCTTGACTGATGATTGTCCTTAGCAATAAATTGTTAAATAAACTAAAAATGACCCATTTCAAGTTAACATGATTAATAATTAAAATAATAAAAATTATTTGTTTATTTCCATTACATTACTTTATTCAAAGTGGATACAGATTTGTTTTGATCTCTGATTAGTCTTTTGTATTGCTAGATATGTATTACTGAGTTTAAAAGTTGTAAGTTACAAGTGCTCGCAAAATTACATTGAACAATTAAACCTTTCAAAAAGTTTAAGTTGACTTTAACCTTAAAAGTTCCGAAACGGACAATACTGAGTAGCTGAGATTAAGTCAAATTATGCATTATGCTGAATACCAAGTTTACGACGCGATCATGAGATGGGTAACTTTCAAGGCTGATTCTAGTAAAGACTATCTCGAAGGATTTTTAAAGCTAATTCGATGGCGCAATTTGGAAGTTACGGATCAATGGAAAATAAAAGAAAATGAATTAGTTAAAACTTCTGACTTTGAACCAGCATTTTGCTTCTCTAACAAACCTAACCGAACTAAGCAAGGTTATTTTGTCGCTATTGAAGAATTGTGTGACAAAAATTGCAAATCAAAGTCCTTGATGATGATTTCTCGTTATTGATTAACCAATTATTTCAATATGACCAATCACTGCCTTTGCATCTTCTCCATGATGAACATATTTCTGATATACACTTTGATTGTGGTGAACACACAATCCGTATCGATTGGGTGCACAATAGATATCGTTTTTCGGATCGTAGCTCGCATTTTCATAAAATTTCTAGCTGTATTTTTGAAAATGAATGGTAAGCAATCTTTCTCTGATTAATTTATATGTCTTTTATTATTATGCAGTCAACTACTGTGGACAATATTATTTGGAAATCAAATAATTAAATTTACTTCTATCGATTACTAAGAAGGTTCATCCCTCCAAGCTAACAGAAGTTATTTCAGTTGTTAATGGTGAGTACTTCTATTGATAGTTATAAAACATTTCTTTCTTTTAGTGGTGAATCCTATATTGAGACGAAAAAACCAGGCCAAACAGATGCAGGGTACTGTCGTGAGCTTTTACTGTTGGAAGCTACCAAAAATTTTATTCTCGTTCGTAACGATCAATACTGGTTCAGATGTTGGGAGACTCCATCTATAGCAGATATTGCGGCTAACTGTGCATGGAACGGACATTCTTACCTGGAAACTATTTTGGATAACAGAATTTATATGCTGAAAGATGATCTCGAACTGTTCCAGTTCAACATTGACCGTAATTTCGAGTTTAAAAAGATAGAACTTAAAAAGTTGCAAAATAAATTGAAATTCGAAAATGTACATTTAACATCCATGCAAGCTAATGATGATAGGGTTATTTTTGTTGATAAGATCACGAAAGATGTTTCTTGTTTCAACGTTGGCACTCAAAAATACAAATCTATCGGTCGAATTATTGATTGTAAAGGCAAATCTACGGATGGTTAAAAGGAATCTAATGTTCTTAAAGCTTTTACCTTTGGATTTATATCAACCGATTCGATTAACCTTTGCTTGAAACGTGAATCAAACCAATAAAGCAAGGCTCATTTGACACAAACATTCATAAACTTATTACACTGAATTGATATTCTTGCTAACTTGTTATTGTGATGAATTCAATCCAAACGTTTCTTTTATTCATTTAATATACTAGTACATAGAAAATCGAATTGAATGGATCATTATATGAGCCACAGTCTGATTTCTTTCTGTATGTTTTCTTCATTTCATGATCATCATCAGTCTAACGACTCAATTGTTTATTACATTAACAAGCCAGTAAATGTTCAGATAAGGTACAGATTACTGTTGCTTTAGGTAGTAAGTTTTATTTAATTGACCAGACATTTCGTTAGTCTTTCGTTTGATTAATCTAATTTTATTTTGATCTTATTTTTCTATTCAAAGAAATATCAAATCTAACATTCTCTTAACATTCTAACATTAAATGGTCAACACTTCCAATCCATCTTTTCGTTAAGATTTTGCAGCTTGTTGCTAAATTGTTTCAACAAATGCAAGTACATAAAAGCCAATTAAAAGTGAAAATCAAATATCAAAGTTCAAAGTCAAAAATCAAAGTTTTTCTAGGATAAGCTTCTCACGAATTTGTTAAATTTTGTTTAGCCTTACGAAATGATTTAGTGTATCCTACATAATTGGCTTTCAATCTCGTAAAACTACCATTAGATATCTTTCAATCCAAACCATTTTTAATTAAGATAACAATTATCTTGCTGCAATTATCATTTGCTTTCTCACTGCTTATGGTTAACCCGTCACCATAAACAACCATCTCTCTGTTTACATTCCTTGACTTGCCGATAAGATGATTCAATTACATTTGTATTATTTAAAAGCGATCATATTGGGCAAGACAATTTGATTAGAATATTATGTTTATTATAATGTATTTAATATTATTATACCGC